GCAGTGCTGTAGTCAGAGTAGCAGCAGCAGATCTCGTTCTCTCCCCTCATGGTTCCACAATCTGCACTAAAAGGAGTGCCCAGCTCCCTTTTGTCACCACAGTCCAGCACTTCAAGGCCTGATTTTTTTATCCGATTATACTGAAAACATGCAGATTCATTGATCTGGGAGATTCCAGTCCCATCCACCCCCACAGACTAGCAACTCCAGGACCTGACATAAACTGCATTTTATTTCAATATCCCAGATAGGTAAATGGATGGAAAATAGATTAGATGTAGGTGGTCTGGTGATTTTAAGAAAGAATGAACCTTGAAGTTTATGCAATCCTCCTGTAATTCCTACTCCTGCTGTTTAGCATGAACAGAACATTTCTCTGTGACATCAAATGTTCACTACTCACATCCAATGCTTGTTGAAATTGCTCATGAGACCAAGCAACTCCCACCAGGACATGATAACCTTTTTTTTCTAAAGGGAAGTGGTGAAAGGAGGAAAAATGGACTCACTTAAGGAATTAGTGGGTCTATAGCAAAAGGAAGAAACTTCTTTACAGCTTCCCTGGGACTTCAGGATTTTGTGTTTCTATTTTTACAAGAATGGGCTGATTTGTCTTAGGTTGTTACTGTCTATTACTGCTGAAGTCCTAGAGAAAGGTGGGAAGCAGAGAATTCTGGCAATCTGCCTAAAGAGAAATCAATGAAACAAATTAATCCTTCGCAGGCTGCAATGACACAGTAATCCATCACTCAGAGGTGCTTTTATACACGAAATCAGAGAGCAGAGGAAAGAGCCCTGGGGGACATCACAGGCAACAACTTACAACAATACTGGGAAAATACTAAGGAATCAGTTTATTTAAAGAGGATAGATTTCAGCTGATTGCCTGTTTAGTTTTAGAGATATTTTTCTTCATGCTGCTGCAAAGCGCAGACACCAGGTGCACTGATCCTTACCCACCTTTTCAGCTCCATGGGATACATGTGAGGCAGGGTCGGAGGGGAGGTTGAGGGCAAGGACTAGCCCACTATTTGCGTCATCAATTGTCACCGGTTGTGAGGGCAGAGAGGCTGGGCAGAATTAGACCCGCTGTCCCCCCCACCCGCCCCCCATCCTCTCACCCTTTTACCGGTCCCCTTTTAGAGAAACGCATGCGGAGCAAAGATACGGATTTGTCGATGCCATCGACAGGTACTTAAAAATCACTTCGTGTTATCCAGAAGTATACCTTCCCCTGGGAGCGACACCTGCTGCCGCTCACGGGTGCCGGCTCAATAAAACAAAAACAAAAACAAAAACAAAAACAAAACCACACGTGGTGTGGCGGCGCGGTCCGACTTCCCCACCCTCGCTGTTTTTTTCTCCTCGTGTGAATGTGACTCCTGTTTCGAAAATGGGGCAGGATCGGAAGCATCACCCATCCCTCAGGGCGCCCCCCCGAAGGCGGTGGGAGACAGACAACACGCTGGAAAATCAGCGGAAAACTCGTGAAATGGCTAATCTGCCGAAACTCGGCCACCGGGGCGCTCTCAGGAGGAGCGCTCCTTTATTTTAATTTTTTGCTCCTCCCATGCTAAGGGCAAAAAGGTAATTTTGATAGCCTGCTTCCAAGTCGGCTTCTCTACCTTGCACACTTTAGGACTCATGTTTTATTCCTACTTTGAAAAGGTTGATGAGGTAAGGATCCAGTGATACTGCTGATGTCGGGAGAAATGCAGATTGGGGAACCTAAATGCTTCAAACAGACATGAGTCTAAACATGGAAATCGCCGTTGATGCAGTCAGTCTGTTCCTAAGAAAGTGAAGAAGCACCGAATTAAATTGCCAAGAAAGGAAAACAAAAGTTTCTACAGTGTAACTACATTACTTCACCTATCCTATTACCTTTCAGATGACATCTTGAAAGAAGGCAGAATTAATACAACCTCTAAATTGAAAAATTTGCTGTGTTTAGGCCAGTAAATCTGGACTGATTTTAAAAGGCTTTTTCATCCTCCGAATCAAATGGAATCATTGTTAATTAGATGTTTTTTGTTAACAATGTCGTTATTCCCTTCATTAGATACACACTTAGTGAACTTCTTAGCATCTGGACCATCAGTTTTGGGGCGGGGGAGGCTGGGTTTTTTTTTTTTTGGTTGGTTGGGTTTTGGGGGGGGGGGGGCGGGAGTTCAGGCTGAAGAGGATTCCACTCTTGTACTCTTATTTTTATTTTCTGGGCGTATGTCATTCATTTTGCTCATTGGAATGCCTCTTATGGAGATTTCTAGAGGTTATCAGTATATTCCTGAAGGGTCTGTGCCAAGAGGGAGCCTCGCGGTCCTACTCTCCCGGGAGGAAGCCTGTCAGTGTTCTCCGCTGGGATGGCAAGCATTCCCAACCAGGACAGGCGTAGTTCGGAGTGCTGATCCCCTTCAAAGGGTCACTGAGGCACTCTCGCCCTTCTGGAGACACCACCAAAGGGAGACGTAAGTTTGGAGGAGAGGAGGAGGAAAAAGAGTAATGGTATTTCCACCTGGTAGCTCGGGAAGTTGGCAAACAAAAGAAAACCCGCAGGTCCAGCAACTCGGGCTCTCCAGCTGGTAGCGGGGGCATTTCTCTGACTGGGCGTTTGTTACAGGTGTGCTTTCTGCCTCCCGGCAGACCTGAAGGGAGGAGATTTATCCATCTGCCCCTGCTAGCTCTCGGCGCTTAGCAGCCTGCAGCAAAGCCCAGGCGTGACGAAAAGAACACGAGCGGCACCCCCGTTTGCGATAGGACGGGAGATTATCAGCCCGCGGTACGGACGATGCTAAGGGGCTCCGCAGTTTATTGACGGAGGAGCGCGGAGACACGCTGGCTGAGCTAACCCTTTCCTGGGCTGGCAGGAGAAACCAGGGGCGTACTGTTTAATTATGTAGAGCCTAATAGCAGGTGGGTTTTTGCCACGTGTTTTGCTTCTAAACCTGCGACCTCTTCAGATTCTCCCCGGGAACGCTGCGTGCCATTTAAGCCTGTCTTCATCCTACTTAGACAGATTCAACCGTGCGCTTCATGTGTCTCTCTCCCTATATTGGCTCCAAATAAACGGATCATGAATGTAAAACTATCCCCCCAAGACATATGACTAAGAATTGTCAAGGAGACTTTGGTCCACTATCTATGTCTATTATGCCAGTCACTCATCATGATCCCTTGTGGTGTGTCATACGTCATGATGACACTGATTTATGACACAGTTTAATGTTATTCGGGGATGCTCCGGCATAACACAGGATCCTGCCTCCACCCCTCACTTTTGTAGCTAGTTACAAATGCACCCTTTACAACGTCTCCAAAGGATCATTGCACAGCCTAAATTAAAAGTCATCATCCTAGATGCTTTCTGGTCAAATGTGCACAACTCGAGGTTTCTAGATATTTTCCTGTTTAGGAGTTGTTTTGCCAGTCGTCTCTGCCTAGTTTTTGCCTCGTATCCTTCAGCGACTGTCTTGACCCTCCCTCCACTCCAGCCTGGGGCTAAAAGGCAGTTCCAGCTTATCTCGGGGACCTCTGCCTCCAGCCTTGTTTTAGGCATTCGGCACTCCTGACATTAAACTGGAAAAGATACCTAAAGATGCCTGTCCACGCATGAGCTATCTATTCCCCTCGTGGGAGAAAGTAAGAATCTCCATGCTGAGCGCAGGCGGGAGAGGCCAGTGGGCGGCCGGAGTGCGGCGAGAAGCGGGAGTGGGTGAGGACGCAAATTCGCCTCTCGCTACCTCCATGCATACTCAGCAAGGGGAAAACCCCGAGCTCTGAGGCTATGCGTAGCAGCATGTGGGGGTCGGTGCAACCTCTGGGCTCTGTCTGCGGGGCTGCAGAAGGGGTGCGAACAATAGCGACTGCAACACCTGCGACCCACCATGGCAGTGGAATATGTACAGTAATATGGAGTAGTTGCTCTTACCGCTTCCAGAGGGAGCTCAAAGCTGGAAAATCAAGGTTAGAATCCTCCAAACTGTAAACATTTTCCACAGGGCACGTTCACAGTGCAAGCAGATAGACAGGGAGAAAAGAGAGAGAGAAAGAGAGAGAATTCTTCGTTTGTCTCAAAAGGGACCTTAAGATTCATTTAACATCACATGATTAGGGATAAAGAGTCTGTCAACGTGTAATCATCTGTTTAGCTACAGACACGAGGCTGAAAAACTTTTACCTGTGCACGGTGGGAAGAAACACGAGGGTGGTGCAGGGATCCGAGGCGCAATAATTAATTCATTGCAGATCACAGGGCTCTTTAGCAAGTACATAAACTCTCTCTGGAAATAGGGATCTATTTATGCACGTCCACGCAAGGATCTCACGCGTGTTGTGATGGAAGATGTTTGGCTGCCTGTGAGAACTGGTATCTCACCAGTCTCCAGGATTTCGGGGCTTGGGCTCGTGTGATATGCCCCAGCGTCAGCCTCTAGCATGGGACGTTCACCTTGCCCTGTATGTTTTCCCTCCATGTGATTCCACGCGTGTTTGTGTCACACAATATTAAATGCAGACAATCCCACTCAGCGGTTCACAGCTCACCAGCGGCTGACACTAAAAATTTAATGCTGACTTGGAAATGCCACACACAACTTATGAAGTGTGACAAGCGTGCAAGAGTGGCTGGGATTTGGGTCTGGTCAGAGAGATTATTCCATAGGGCGCTGAGCTAGACCAGTGCTCAAGAGGTAAAAACCTACCTTCACCCTCATCCTCACCCTCATACTCCTCAGCCTCATCCTCCAGCTGCTGTGCCCACCCCGTGCCCAGCCTGAATCTCAGCTCACACGCACAAACACTCGCACAAGCGATACCTGCCTCCTGTTCTACCCAGGAGGAACTTCCCCGCTCACCATCTCTCCTCCCACACTCTTTCCCCGGGAAGGTTCCCTGCCCCTTCGGTCCCCAGGACTCCGTAGAGTGTCACAATCTGCATATAAACCACCGGGAACAAGCGACAGGTTCGTTCGCTTCCAGGAAAACAAAAAAGGGAAAATATATAGATGAAGCCAATTTTATTGCTCTGTTAGCAGCGACACAGCCCGTACTTGTAAAAGGCGGGGGGAAAGAAGACATTGCGTTACAGAGTCACCACCACCCCCCTGACAAGTCATTAAGCCTCTAACCCCCCACCGCCCCCGCAATTAATGGCACCTCGCGAGGGTGCTGCTCACACTCAAATAGGACTGAAAATTGAGGGATCCTATTGATTCCCAGCGGGTGCCCGGGATGGGGAGTTCCACTCAGACGGCTCCGAAAGTGTCGCAGGTCCGGGGCCAGCTAGAGAAGCGGAGAGGAGCAGAGGCGGGAGGGCGGAGTGGTTCGAAGCGGCGCGGAGGGAGTGCGCGCCCGCGAAGCGGCCAGGGGCGGATGGCGACGGAAAGCCGCTTCGACCTGGGTATGACCCTCGGTGCGCGACGCCTGCTTGGGCTGCCAAAGCTTTTTCCTTTCTCTGCTTTTTCCCCTGAATTCCTCACCCCTCACTGGTGTCTTGACCCACAGCACAGTCCAGCAAACAATTCTGTTTATGTCCTTTACAATAGCAATTCTATGCGGTACAATGCGACACATACAGCAATGAATATGCATAGAGAACTGCGAGGGGACGTGAATGCGTACGGCGAAATGCTACCTTCCCTACCTGTCCCTTTTTTAGCTACTTTGAACAAAAGGCGTCGCAGATGCGTTTTGTGGCACTGAATTAATTCGGGATATTTGGTACACAAACTTAGCGAGCCCAAAGGAGATTAATTTTCCAGAGTAATCCAATTAAATGATTTTTAAACTAATCTTTTTGGGGGAAAAAATAGTGCAAGGCTAAAGAGGAAAATCGGTTTTATGACAGTGATTTATTGCACCAGTTTGGTCTACAGAAAGATGCTATCCTTTATTTTCCCTCCCACTGTGAAGTCGCAAATATACATGTATATATGACTGAATTTATTTTATTTTATTTTATTTTATTTTATTTTATTTTATTTTATTTTATTTTATTTTATTTTATTTTATTTTATTTTATTTTATTTTATTTTATTTTATTTTATTTTATTTTATTTTATTTTATTTTATTTTATTTTATTTTATTTTATTTCTATTTTATGGAAAGAGTACCATCCAGGCGAAAATCTTGCCCTTAAGGTCCAAAGGAAGAGAGTTTGGTTGTTCTTAGACTTTTTAAAGGGCTAAAGGGAGTATCTTAGACTTTTTAAAGAGCTAATAGATTTATGGTCTCTTTTCCGACGCCCATCCAGAGTAATTAGCACATATGTTCTAAATAGATGATAGTTTTGTGAGCAATAAAGCTATTATCCGTCGCTAGAGCTGACAGTTCCTCCAAATAAGCTCCAACCGGCAGGTAATTGGAGAAGTCATTTCAGTTTCATTGTCTGCAATTAGTCCTGCTAAACTATTACACCCAAACTACCTGGTTTGATGTTTATTTATTCAGTTCTATTTGCATTTACAAATGTTTACTAAGTCACGCTTAACTTTTTCAGGAGAAAAGCATCTCTGGGGCTTCTTGGGGCTTGGGGGGCGGGGGCGGTAGGGACGGAGGTTGAGGGGGTTTTGTTAAGGTTTTTTCTCCTTTTGCATGCAGGACAGCAACTCTTTCAGTAGTGCTGGAGGGTTCAGCCGTGTACAAACACCTGTCCACTCTGCTGAGCCGAGGAGATAAAACTGTATTTTCCTGACCGGTGCAACCAAGACAGCAGTGAGGGCAGTGGGGAGGAAGGAGATGGGCAATTCTGCTAAGGAGAGGAAAAAAAAAAAAAAAAAAAAAAAAAAAAAAAAAAAAAAAAGAGAGAGAAAGAAAAAAAAATCCACATTTTCCACCTGAGCTCTGCCTCTGTGTCTGTGTGTGTGGTGTGTGTGTGAGTGTCTGTGCGTGTGAGTGTGAATGTGTGTGTGTCCCTAGCCGTGCCTGGGGACATAGTGTCTCCCTGCCCTTTTCTATGGCATTTGAGAATAGGGAAAGATCTGTGGGTCGAGGGAGCCTTTTTCTGTCCACCTCCCACAACTGCCGCCTCCTCGGGGGCGAAAAAATTAAACAAGGCGATGGGGGCTGAGGACTTGTGCACAGTGAGTGGAAAAAATGTGTTAAACATCAGTTTGACGCCCCATCGGAGCTTCAAAATATACACCGCCTGGATTTCTTCTACTTAATTTAATTCTTATTGGACTGTGTTTCCTCTCGCCATCTATTTACCAGAAGTTCCAGCAAAACGTACCTAGAGAGAGAAGGAGGGAGGTGACAAACGATGGCGGGGGGAGAACTTCATTTGAACCTCCAGACTTAAGCAGGTATTTAGCAGGGAGGTACTCCAAGGAGTTTGAAGTAAGTCTCTTAAGTCATAAATTCTGCCCAGGACTTGAGCTGCTCCTGGAGTGGAAAAGATTTGTGTACCGGGATGGGAACTTGTAACCTTAGCAACAAAGTAGTCACATGAAGGAATTTACAGCAAAAGCATCCCAAACTGAGAAAGAAACGCCAATTTTTGAGCTGCTAGGAAGCAAGAGATAGTGCCCTGGATTGAGCCTCTAGAGGAAAACTTCTTCTATTTGACAGAACTCCCCAAGTTTGCCCACCTCTATTTTTTTTTCATTAACGCATGCAAAAAAAAAAAAAAAAAAAAAAAAAAAAAACACCCAAAAGCAGAAACACAACCCGTTGGCAAGAGGATTCCCAGGAACCTGCGCACACCTCCGTCGGTGCCTGACCGATGTGCGGAGTTGGTCGCCCACCACAGGGCGACTGTTTCTTGGGGTTACCCACTCCCGGCGGCCGGGACTGTCTTTCAGTCCAGGTATCCGCAATAAGTGAAAATTACGAAAATCCAGGAGTCTGAGGCTGAGAGGAAAAATAGTGTCTGGTCGATTCTCCGTGTTACAACTCCGAGCATCACTCGTCAAAAAAGGTCCTCACAGCTCGGGCACCGGGGAGGGGTGTCTGAGATGCTGGTCGCTCCCCACCCCCAGACCACCTGGTCCCAGGCAGGAACACCCTGGCGCGGGGGCGAAGGGAGGAGGGACAGGGCATGCCTGTGTCTCCGCCGAGTCGCAGGGTGCGCACATAGCAGGATTCAGCTACAGAGGGCTGCTCACGCTGGTCCTTGTCTGGCGCACTCAAGGGCACGCACCCCTTCGGCCAGGCAGCCTAGCGCAAAAGCATTTTCGCAGCTCCCAGAGCACACATACAGTTGTTTTTTGTTGGGTGGCTTGTGGGTTGTTTTTTTTTTCTTTTTTCATTTTCCATTACGAGCGATTAGATGGTGTCTATTCAAAGTTGCTGATCCAGAGAGAAAATAGGAGTAGATAAAAGGAGATTTCAAGAGACCTCCTCGTCCCTTTCACACCAACCTGAGCCCCAGAATAGCCAAGGATCAACTCGGACAAAAGCCCTTTCCCTTTCAGCTTCAGAAGATTCTGTGGAAGGGGTTAACAATAAAACATATAACTCTAGACCCGTTTGATAGGATCAGGCAATTTTGTGTAACTTATTAACGACACTGTTGGATATGTCTGGGTTTAACCCCTAGAAACGTGTGAAGAATTATATTTTTTTAAAAATATTCAAAAGCCTTTGTGAGGTAAAAAAAAAAAAAAATAAAAATAAAAAAAAAAAGAGTAGCAGTCATTTATAGCTTTTGCATTGAGCTGGAGTGATCTACTGTGTTTATTCTGTTTCGTTTAAACTTTATTGAAAGCGCACCCCCGTCCTCCCCACGCAGACAGAATATGCCGTAATAAACATATCTTGCTCCTGACAGTTCCAATAGAAATTCTAAGGTTTATTACTCAGATCAATTTCTAATGAATAAATATGATTATATCGCTACTACTCTAGCATTGCTGAGTATTTCCCAGCAAACATACTTTTGCACAGTTTTATCTCGGATGCAGGGGAGAAAGTGACATTAAAGAATTAAACATCTTGGAGCCGGTCTCTGGTCTCTGGAAAGTCCTGCTCAAATCTACTCCTGACTAACTAATGCCCTCAGTAAAAGAAAAAATGGAATCTCTGACAGGTAACTGTTAAGGAAATTATTATATACTGCTGTCGACAGCGTAGTCAGGACAATCTCAGGACTTTACACACTCGTTTCCAAACGTCAGCTTTTCGCCAAAATCTCCAGCCCAATTCAGAATCATAAAAACACCAAATTCAGCCCTAACAGAAGCTGAAAGCACAAAACACAGTCAGAGCTGTTCAGCGCAAAGCGTTATGCTTGTGGTTTTCGTAAAATTTTGTTTCTCTTGGCTTCAGCGCTCTAATCACCGTAGCTTTATTTGTGCCGAATATAAATATTTGGTCCTGGATTCATGAGTGTGTTGAAAAGTATTCGCAGATTTTCCTTATACAGGAAGGTTTGATCTGCATTCAAAGGTCATCAGTTTCTGTCCGTGAAGCTCTACTTGGGAATTGCTATGCTTCTTTGTGCTGTTAGAAAAGTGGCCTTCGCTTTGTGTGCCTTCTCTCCCGTCCTCTCACAGACACCTTTTCTGTGTCGTGTGGTTGTTGGTTGGGATTCTGTGATTTTTAGTTTTGCTTTTGGTTTTGTTTTTACTTCTAGGCACAAGTTTTTTTGGTGTTTTTTTTGTTTTTTTGTTTTTTTTTTCTTTTTTTCATTTGGGAAAAAAGGCTGACTGACGGGTGCTCAGGCGTTTTTGTAGGGATAACGAGTGCCTGCTTTCTGGTTGTCACTGGAGCCCGGTACTTTTGAGCGCTAACAAATGACAAACCCCGGCTCGGCGCGGACCCGCTGCCGGGGAAGCTGCGGGAACGGCAGATTGCCTTCTCGAGGGCGTGGCGGGGGGAGTTGCGAGGGCCGCTCTCACACTGCTTTTTTGCCAATCCCGTCTGAAATAATTCCAGGGAAGCAGGCGGTGTGTGCGAAAGGGAAGGGCGGTCGCGCCTCTGGGTTAAACACACGCAGAAGGCGAGGAAAAGTGGGCACACCTCGGCGGGGTGGGACACACAACACCCCATGGGCTGCCAGACCCACTACGATGAGCAGCAGCTCTGGATACCGTGGTGATGTCAGCTGTGACCCCAAGATGATGTTTCACAGAAGAGCTGGGGGAAAAGAGTACGCTCCAAAGAGTGGCGGTTCTGTTGGGGGTTTTTTAATAAGTAAATAAAGAAGGTTATGCATGATGGCGTGGCTCGGGGCATGTGCGGCCGACGGGCGGAGGGGGAACTGAGCAGGGAAAGGTGGAGGGCCTTGTTTCCCAAGCCCAGTCGCCTTCGGTGGGACGTACTGAAACGTCCTGGGCGACGGGCTAGGGTGACTGTGACAGGGATACCAGGAGCTAGGAGACACCCACCCGGAACGTCTAGGGTGGGATGGGCAAACCCTCGGCGTCGGGCTTCCTTTAGAAAGCGAGCAGGGCTGGCACAAAGCGTCCCAGAGTGCGTCCTTCAGGACAGCTGCGGGTGGGTGCTGCAGGAGGCAGCGAACGAGCAGCATAGACCGCCCGGGAGGAGCTAGCCCCACTTATTCACGTCTCCCCGCGGTGATGCCACTCACCGGAGACCACCTGCCCAGGACAGGGGGTGACCGCACGGCTCCTCCAGAAGCACCACCTCCCGCGCACACACCATATGTTGCGTTCCTCAAAAACTTAGTTATCCTTCAGGTCTGGCTTGGGTGAAGGCAGGAAAAAGGAAGGAAAAAAGAAAGAGAGAAAAAACACAAATGGAGAGGCAAATGCTGTGAGGAAAAGCCCCGGCATTGCTGATGGGAAATGAGGCCTGGCTAGGCATCACCAGTTGTGGAGGCCTGGAACAGCACTACCACCCCCAGCCTGGCTCGGGGGGTGCCTGGGGAGCAGCGGGGCTGGGATGCACAGTGACGACTGGGGAGTCCGGGTGTGACCATTCACATCCGCTTTGCAATAGGCCCGGCCCAGGAGAGAGGCCACCCGAAGAACCCCAACCGAGAGAGGACGGTGGTGCTGGGGGAAACCCCAGTACAACACTCTGGTTTTACAGTTTGTAGGTGTCCACAGGTCAGAACTGAGGACAACCAAATGCACAAAAAATTGAATGCAAGAATGAATTCTTTTTTGTAGGTCAAAGCTGTTCACTGCACCCTGTGTAAGTGTGCACATACTGTCTTCCATCCACGCCACTCCATAGGTGTGTGCATTTATATGTGTATATAGGTATGTATGTCCCCGTGTGTGTGAGTACCTTTTTAAATGTGTGTGTCTGTGTGTGTGTGTGTATATATATATATATATATATATATATATATATATATATATATAGTTCCTTGTGGAGCTTGGCAGCTGAAGAAGGTACTTATTTGTTTAGGAAAACACAGGCTATGTATCCGAGCTCAAAATAATAATACGATCAACTGGGTTTTATATTATACTATAACCCCTCAACCCGCCTCCCTCCCTGACAGAAACAGCCTGTAAAAGTTGTCACCACTAATCTCCAGAGGAACTTTTTCTTTCTGCAGGGGACGAGAGAGGAGCCATTGCCATTCCGGGTTGTGTTACACGAAGGAGGAGACGGGGGTGGAGAAGAGAGATACAGAGCGGAGAGGAAAAAAACAAACAAATAAAAACAGCCAAAACCACACCCTAAAGCTCCCAAAACTCTCCCACCTTCAGATCCCAGCCTTGGACCCTTGCCTGGGGAAAGTAGCATTTAGTATGACAGAGGGAAAATTAAGTCTCCAAGTTCCCAGCTCCACCTCCTTTACACATTCCAGATCCACGGAGGTTAAAAACGGAATCAAAGTTCATTTCCCAATTAAATGTGAGTTGTGACCGTTTTAAAGTATCCCTGTAATTTGTCAAGGAGAGGAAATGCCTCTCGTCGCCTGAACTGTGCTTTAACCTGGTCAACACGGGCATGAAACTTTTATTGATGGGTACCCAGAGTCTCGTCTCCCCTCCCCAACAGGCTACTGCACAGCCACAGGACGTCGGAGATAGGTTTTAACTCGGGACTCCTGCAAATTTCACCGGCCCTTCACCCATCGGTTATTTCTACAAACCACGTTTAGAAATTGCTTTCCCTCAGCACAGAGGGAATGAAAACCACCAAGCGTTTCCAGCCAGACGAAGGGAAAAAATTTCTCCCCATCGCACTACCCCCGCTGCCCAGACCAGCGCAGTCTGAGCATGTTTAGGCTCCCTCTGTATTACAATTGTGCCCAGCCTGGCTGGGAAACATCTGATTACTGCCCCTGTAATCTGTTGACACTATCACCCAGATAAACAAGCTGCCATCGATCTTTTCATTAGGTGATCAAATAACAAACAAAGCAGGTGAAAGAGAAGAACGTTGGAATGCTTGCACGTCCCCAGCCCGGCGCCCTGCGGCTGCAGCTGGTCCTGGGACCTGAGATCGGT